GTAGTAGATAGACTGAACTATTTTTAAAACACAACTTAAAAAAAACTCAATTTCACAGGCGTATTATACACATATTTATAGTTCTTGAAAGCTTGAAAATTTAAAAAAAAATCATTTCTTTCGAATTTCGATGCTAATCAATATTTTATTCCCCAAAAATTTTAGTCACTAATTTTCAAAGACCATCATTATTGAACATTTCCATCAAAACCTGCTGATTCAAATTAAAGTACGAAAAATCGCTTCTTCTTTTTTCAAATAATAAAGAGTCGAATTGGAACCAGTTGCGATGTGTTTTTCGGCTGTCTTTCAAAGGTGATCCCAACTAGTTCACAAATGACAAAAAGTTGTATGTTTTTTGGGTAAAGTGCGAGGCGAAAATCGTTGAAATAACCCGGTCTTATCACTCAACCGACCATGTCTCGAGAGAGTGTTGTAATAAAAATATTGTCAATAGGTTTTTGAATGAAATTATGTAGAATATTATAGAAGCTTTTTCTTGAAAATCATAAGTATTGAAGATTTCGAGAAAGAATTAAAAATTTTTTATAAATGAGAAAAAAATAAGATTTCAGCGAAAAAGCTAGTTTTTAATCTGTTTTTGAACAAAAATATGTTCCTTTCTTTGTGATACTTATAATAATACTATTGCTAGCTTGATTCATCAAAGGCGAAATAGTGTGTGAAAAGGAGAGGTTTTCACTGAAAAACTGCCTTTTTCGGGTTATTTTTTTCGAGCGGGTTATAAATAAGAAAGATGAGATTCACGTGAAAAGCTTGCGCAAATCTCTTTTGTATACAAATAAAGTTTTTTCTGAAGGAGAAAAGACCTTTTCAAATAATGATGAAAGCTTTTATGTACTGGATGACACTCTCTTAAAGGTTAATCCTGAAAAAAGGCGTGAAGATCAAGAAAACTGTTGATAAAATTAGGCATCGATAAGAAAGTAAGAAAATTTTGATATAATATAGTCTGTGTACCACGAATTGGAATTTCACGGAACGACACTCCGCTGTTCCGCTGCGTGCGTTCGCGAACCTTGGTTTTTTTCTTCTTTTATTAAGGTACTCTACTTTTATGTGTTCCCACAGCAATAACAATAAATTGAAAGCGTGGCCTAGATTCGAAAAACGCTTCGCGAACGCACGCAGCGTAACAGCGGAATTTCGTTCCGTGAAATTTCCAGTCGTGGCACACAGACTATAATTTAGCCAAGAAAAGCTTGAACATACATCTATAGCAGTAGGATTTTCCAATTCAAAAAAGAGAAACGCTGGTTTTTTTTCGTTTGATAATGGCATGAACCAGTACATTTTCCAAAAATCGGCAATTTTCTTGACATGAATAAATATTGAACTCATAAAGAAAGGTCTCATAGGTTACTGTAGAGCCACCACATCGCCCATCGTCCCAGGACCATTTTCTTCAAAAATTTATACGATTTTTTTTAGTTTCATTCAAGATCACTTTTTGGGTTGTTTGAAGGCACGAAACGTTTTCAAAGCGGAAAATAAATCGTCCCTTCGATACCTTTTTGAAATTCGCCTATGCTCCTTCGAGTAAGTTTTGAAAGTTTTTTTGAAAGTTTTATTCAGTCTTCAGAGTAGGTTCTCTGCTGAATCATGGAATAATTGAAGAGTTGTTTGTCGGTTCGCGATAATGTCGTTGATCAAGCGTAGACGGCGCGTAGAGCATCTCGCCACTCTTGTGCTAGTAGTAGACGACTTTCGAGCGTTTCCGACGATCACTGCTTCTCCATGTAGGAACAGTACGGCGCCCAGCTTGTCCAGGGCTGACGGGCGTCGGATTGAATCTCGGACGAGAGCAGAAATGAAGACCGACCACTCGGGTGGTAGAAATGAGATAAACCTTCGAGTAAAACAGAAAGGATTTTTGAGCCGACTAAGGAAATGAACAAAGATTTTTTGCTCTTTCAGTTGATTAGACCACCTTTTCTCTTTTCGAATCTCGACCAATCAATTAATCTAAAAGTTTCTAGTCTGTTCGGATACCTTGTTTTCTCAAGAAAACCGAAAATTTATGAACAACTGACACTGACCATGTAGGGCAAAAGTCGCGTGACAGCCATGGGGCGTCGAAAAAACGGCAATCCCAGGCTCCGCCTCCTTGAAAAACTTTTTTCGCGCCTTGACAAGCCGATAATTTTCAACTGAAATAGTTCTATTCTCTGATTTTGATCGATATTTATGCATCCGACGCTATCTGTAAAGTTAATTCCGGTGGTACCGCCATGCGATGAGGTTGTACAGGAGAAGCGAAGCTTCTGGCTTGGTGGGCACTTTTTTCCTGGATTTTATTTGATCTATGCTTACTTTTTATCATCCATACGAATATATTCGATATGGAACTGATGAACTTCAATTTCTAAAGAAGATGAGGGATCTTGAAAATGAGAATAACGTTAGCAATATATACAAAAATTCAAGTTTCAAAATATTTCATACATAAACACTGAGTGTCAAGCCACATGGTTTAGGAATACTGTGAGGGAATATTAATATGTGTATTTTCATCATTCATTTTTTACCGTGGTCGCACGTGGAATGGTTCATTGCGTCGCGGTCGCGTTACTGCATACTCAAAATGGTTCTATGGTTTTGCGAGGATTTTTACCCAAGTAGTTCTGTTAACCAACTATGACCTTTAACTGCTTCGAGTTGATCCCTAGAACCTTTTACTTCATTTTTTCATTGATAATCCGATTTATCTCGAAGCCACCCACACTTTTGAAAGGCTTCATTTTTTTTGTCGCTCGTCTTTTCTGAAAAAGATTCTAGCCAAATTTCTGTCAATTCCACTTTTTTTTGAAGGTCATGGCTGAAGACGTGATATCAATTGAGACGTGAAAAGAGAAATGAGAAACTCTGGGTCAATGGGATCAAATGGAATTATTTTTGGCTCGAGTTCTATGAAAAAGTTCCTTTCCCGGTTTATAAAGGGAAATAGATAAATTTTATGAAGATCTTGACGCGAACCGTTTTCTGTGTTATTTCGGCTTATTTTCAATACTTTTGCGCCTTTCAACACCTCAAAAAAAGGATTTCCGAACACACTATAATATATTAATCATCTTCTCACTCTTTTTCAAAGGCTTCATTGTCAACAATCTTCCCGAAAGGCTCATAGGAATACATTTTAACAATAGTGTCGAGGACGATTATTTTACTTTGCGGTTTCGTGAACTTCGGCCAACACTCATTGATGTACCAGAAAAAGATCCTGGAAGTCTCAATCTCCACAAAATTCTAGTTTTTGAAAAAGGAGTTTTTGAAAAAAAAAACCCTTAGAATCCGTTAAAATCAGCGATTTCGGAGTTTTGAGCTCTCATTTCTCAAACACTAGACGTTCTGCATGTTGAAACTAGCGTGTTCCTTCTTGTACACGAATGAGTTTCGAAAGAAATGCCTAACCATGGTAAAAATGGCCATTGTAAGCTTTTTCTGAGATTTAGGACATTAAAGTAATATGAAAAAGTTTCATCCTTCTTTAAGTATTAAATCAGGCTCAAATTTGTCTTTTTCTAGTTTTTTTCTCAAAAAAATCACATAATTTTTTTATTATTTCGTTGATTGCGTGTCATAAGAATCTCAGGATTTTTTTGAAAAAAATGATCATCAAAAAAGCATTAAAAAAATTTAAGTCAAAAACATTCATTTTCACAACTTTTTTTGTGAGCTAACTTGATGAAATATTAAGGAGAAAAATGAAAAACCATGAGGTCAAAGAGATCAATTTGCATCACTTTCTGATTTTCTGATATTTTTTAAAAAACTGGCCTTTTCACATTAGTTCTGGAAGCTTTTCCACCTCCCACACTTTATTAGGGCTTCTCCATTGAGATCTGCAAAAGGCTTCCCAAAAAAGTTTTGAGATTAGACATTTTTTTTTGTTTTTCCTCATTTTGGGTTGAGCTTCCTACAATTCTGAAAAGCTCTGATAAAAAAATTCTCTTTTTGCACGAAAAGTTCATTCAAAGTCCTCACTTACTTTACTTTCAATTCTAATCATCTATGGAACTAATTGAAGCTAATCGAATCACTCAACTTTCCTCAGAAATCTAGATAAGTCAGGTGGGATACTTTGTTTCGTGAGCTGTTAATTTTTCAAGTTTGAATGATAATTTGAAGAAAGAAGTTCAAAAGATTCCCAAAAAGGCATTTTCTAACCACCATTTATGAATGAATTCATTAAGACCCAAATTATGTAGATTAGTGTTTTTTTTTTGCGTTGAAATACTTTGAGTTTCTTGTTATTATTAAGAGAAAAGGTTATCAGAAAAAAAGATGAGCATAATTTTACATAACTCTTTCGAAAAGGAAACGTCCAAGATGTTACATGAAATAGGAGTTTATACGAAACGAAGGCGAAAAATCTACAAAATGAAATTTTTTTAAAAAAATTTATATAATTATTAGGGCTGTATGAAGCAGTAAAATTACTTTTGTACTGATTTTTTTAAAAGCGCTTTCTTTCTTTGGGATCTCTTAGAACTTTGTATTTTGAATTTATAACTATTTAATTGATATTAAAACTAAAAAGTGACTGTTTCTTTTTAATTCCTCGGAAAAGCTTCTTTAATTTCAAAGGAGCTCCCCAACGTTAAAAAAACATGAAAGGTTTCAAAAAGGACGAATTTGAGCTAAGTTTCTAATTAATTTCTTTAGAAATCCAGCGCGATTATTAGTTGTCTGCATTCCGAAAAAAAAAATCTATCGAGCCTAAAAAAATTTTTTTTTCCATTCTGACTTTGATATTTTTCTCTGAAAATGAAAATTTTTGGAGGGAATTCCCCAAGTGATGAGATATCAGATAGAAGATAAAATGACGAATTTCCTGTCTTTTGCAACACTTCCCCCCGCCAGTCAAAAATATCTGCAGATAATCCCAGCTGCGATCCGGATGAATAGAGAAGAAAAAAAAAAGCGTGAAGAAATTCCAATTTTTTGCAGGACTTCCATGGCGGCCAAAGTCTAAGCCGATGCGACCATATTCAGTCGCGCGCGACACGTCTCGCACCGCGGCGACGCCCCTTTTCCTCGCGGTTGGGCTGTTTTCGATGATCCTGCTGCTGATCTACCTCCTCGTGTACTTCCCCGTCGCGACACCACGATTGGCGACGTCGCCGACCCCACCGACGCCGAAGCGACAGGCCGACGAGGCGACTCAGGTCGATGTCGCGCCCGCGACAACCGACCTGTACGCCTTCATCGATCGCGTCGAACATCGACGACAGATTCCGATGCTCCACCAGCCCTTCCTCTATGCTGTCCGCCTCAAACTCTATCTACCTTGGAAACCGTCAGTTCGGAAAAAAATTTTTGTTGAGGCCGGAATAAATAGCAAAATTTGAACTTATGAGAGAGGATGAAGTTGAAAAAAGAAGTTCTGAAATTATCTGATTTTTCTTCAGTTTGACTTTGATTTCCAGCTAATGAAAAGTTATTGTTCTTTCATACTTTCATAAGATTTGAAAACTAAGCTAGACCGAATTTCCGGTTTTTTTTTTAAATTTCTTTTTAGCCCGACCGCTTCTTATTAGTCACCATTTTCTCAATGTTGTGAAAAAAAGGCGTGTCCACCCAATATAATCTATTAAAGTCAACTTTTAGAAATTTTAGAAAATGATAAATAACAAATTCGACTTCTTCTCGGTAATCTGTGAAAAAAAAACGGAAATTTTGTGAGCAACCTGTGGAAAATGTCCAATTTTAAGGTTTTCAACATTTTTATTTTAAGGTTCTTATAAATATGACTATTGCAAATTTTCGAAATTTGAATCCTTCTATTCAAAAAAAGAAACCCAACTCCCGAGAATTCTGCAGCTGTTCATGATCATTAAACCATTAGAAGTTTAATGAAAATCTGAAAGAATCTCATAATAAAAAAATATGATCTCATCGTAATCCTTTCCAGAAACGTAACTTTTGGCGAGAACGACTTCGCCTTGGAGGGTCATCTACGGATGCATTTCGTGTCTGGCGGTGGGTCGAGAATACTTCTTCACTCTGTTGATCAACACATCGGCGATTGTTCACTTCTCGACGAGTTTGGCCGCAGCATCGGCGTCAAGCAGGTCAAAAATCGAGGACTTTGGGGAAAATTGAATTTTTCTGGAAATGTTCGTTTTTAAAGTGAAATGCCTAGTTTTCTTAAGGTATTATATTCAAAAACTAGTGGTCGAGAAAAAGATTTCCTGGCCTCAATCTTGCCGAGAAATATAACTTCTATGACTAGGAACTTTATCAAGAGGGCAAAAAACTCAGTAAAAAAGAAATAGCAAAAATTAATAGGATTTTGACCAATTTTCCGTTGAATTCGTTTTACAGAGTTCTTTTTAAACAACGCTATTGATTTTTTACCGACCTATAAACGGTTTTAATTCAATTCATTGCTCGATATGAACCTTTAGAATAGTGAAATCAAGGTTTTTGTCGATTTCAATCCCATTTCTTCCTCTTTCAGGTCCGCCGAGAACATTCTCAGCTCCTCGATTTCGAACTGATGCACGACATGATCAGTGGAATGAATTATACCCTGGACATTCCCTTCCGGGGACACATTTCTCAGGACAAACAGGACGGCATCTTCGCTTCGCCTTACAAACATGGCGAGGAGACCAGGTCATTTTGGGAGCTCATTGTAAGCCGCGGTTTCGAATTAATAAAGTCAAGGAGATTTTTTTCAAAGTCACGTTGTATACTTGATTTGATAAGAAATTGATGTTATCAAGCGAAATGATTGAATTCAGATAAAGGAAAAATATAAAAGTTGCTTGAAAAAGTTTCTAAAATAACAGGCTTTTTCGATTGGGTTTCAGCTTTCTTTAAAATCTCTAATAATAGATAGATACGGATGGCTCTTACAAAAAAAAGGTCCTGAAAGGATTAGCGAGATAGCGTGCGAAAGGGAGAGGGTTTTTACATAACCCGGTTTATTTTTAATTTTTGAACCAACGGAGTTAATTTTTTATTCATTGAGACGTTTATCTTCATTCTTCACATTTAGTTTGAGGGCTAAAACAAAAGTTTGAAAACAGAAGCGAGAGATCAATGGAGACTTGAAGAGGCGTCAGAGAAGTGGGTGTCTCTCTCTTTCTCTCGTGTCTCTTCAGACTACCTGTGGTCAATACAAACAAAAAGACAGTAGTACTTTTCTGGGGTCTCTTCAAACCGTTTAATGTCTACTTCCACTAACAATTTTTCACATAAATCAATTTTTGGGAATCAACAGAACTTGAAAACTTGAAGAAAGATTTTCTGATCAGTGTTTACAAGTTTTTGGCCTTGAAAGTTTAGTTCGCATTGAAAGGAGGTGTTCAATTGTAGATTCCTGACGGCCACGCACCTCCAGACTACCGAGGCTCGGTCAGTGTTTCCCTGTATCGACATTCCTGAGGTCAAAGCCCAGTACGACGTCGTGGTTGAACATCCGACTGGAACTAGCGCCGTTTCCAATATGATGGAGAATGAGACGAGTGTTGATGGGTAAGTACATCGGAATTCGAAATGGCTTGAAAATGATAGTATTTGAAGTAAAAAAAAACTTTGATTCAATTAGAAACGCCAGAGTGGTCCCTAAAGGGGTTAGGGAGAAACAGCCCCTGCAGAGGACGAAACAGCGCTTCTTAAAGAAGTGAAACATTACACTATTCAATGTTTTTTTGTCGTGGCTCGAAATTAAAAAGACATATAGAATAAAAACTGAATTTATTAATCTTCTGTTGATATTTTTTTCATTCAAATAACGCTAATTAATTCAGTTTGTCGCTTAGAAGTTTCTTCTCTCTGGAGTTGAAATAAAAAAATAATAATTAACGAAAAATGCTCCCCCATAGTGACCTCTATAAAAGAGTTAAGATGGGCTCCTAAGTTTTTCCGCTCTAGGGACCACTCTGGCGTTCCCAAGTAGGCTTCAAAACTTTTTTTGATTTTTCTATAGACTTATAGATTTTTCGAGTTAAGTTCATTTCATTCACAAGAAAAAAATTTGGTATTGAAAAAAATCGATAACTGGAAGATAATTATAAAAATTGTTCAGAATCGCAACAAAAAAACTGAAATTTTTCGGAAAAATATCTTTGAAATCACCTATGTTTTTGAATTTTTTTAGAAATTGGACAGTTACGAAGTTCCACCGTACGCCGCCCATGTCGACCTATCTTTTCGCCTTGGCCGTCAGCGATTTTCCATTCTTGGAATCACATTCGAGCCAAGGAATCAGGGTAATTTTGTTATGAAATTGAGAAGAAAAAAACCATTTTTCTGCTTCACTTCCATTTTAAAAAGGAAGTAGAACGTTTTGCGACAATCGTGTTGTCGTCGAAAATTTATATATTGAAAACAATATATATTGAAACATCTTTTCAATCAATTAATCACCCCGCTTTATTTTTTGGTTTAACTTTTTCTGATGAGGATCTCTAATTCTTGAAAATTAATGAAAAATTGTTCATGAACTTCAGAATTTTTTATTCCTCATTTTTCAGATTCGAGTCTATTGTGACCCGCTGAAAATCGCCGATTCTGTACTGATGTTGGACTCGACGGGACCTTTATTGGACTTTTTCACGGACTATTTCGGCATTCCTTATCCTCTGGACAAATTAGGTCCGTTTATTTTCAAGATTTTTGACAGTGATTCAAAATCATGTCATTTACATATTACGCGTAGGATTCCCTGATAATATTAATAATCAACAAAAAGGGAAAATTAAATTAATGACGAAGTCGACCATCGGCAATGGATCGACATACGCTTTCCATCCAACCAGTTTGCTCATTCTGCTCCTTGCCTCGAATGTTGGTCAGAATGGCTACCTGGAAAACATTTGGGTGGCTGGCGCAATGGGTTAGAGTCAAAAATGGAGGAAAATGAGTTCTTGGTTCGGGTCCTGTGGAGGATTTTTTTGTCTTATTTCTGTATTTAGTCGAGGAAATCCATATAAAGGATAATTATAGCAGTGTTGGCCGAATCAGTTAGGGTTCGAATTGGAGATGAAGACTTGTTGGTTCGAGTCCTGCGATGGGCTTTTACTTTTTTTGCCATTCTTTAATTTCAAATTTTCTTAAATAGCGAATACTTGTAAGAGAATTTCGAATAGTACTGAAACTTGATTCGTTTTATTAGAGAAATGGGTCAGGCATAGATAAATTAGTTCTTGGTTCGACTCCTGGCGAGGAATTTTGGCTTTTTTGCCATTTTTCCTCAAGTTTCTAACTCATTATTTTTTTACTTTTTACTTGATAAACAATGTAAATTTGAGTAAGTAAAGGCTTGATGGTCCTACCGGTTAGATTTTAGGTTCGGATAAATATTTCTTCGGTTCGAGTCCTAGCGACGAATTTTTTTTCAATTTTTCTCAAGATCCACATTTTCTAAAGTTCATTTTTCGTTAAACTTGAGGTGCTTGAAGATTTCTCTACCAAGAGGGGAATATATTGGTTTTTTCTTTCTGTCTAAAAAGAAAGCGTCATTGTGGCTATGAAAAATTCTTCCCCTTAGTTTTTCCTTAAAAAAGTTACCTGGACATTCCCCCAACTGTACCCGATCGCTTCAGTTCCGGCCAATGATCCGATATGGTACAAACTCCCGTCGAATCCTTCAGATTTCACTTTTTCTTCTCGAAAAATAAATTTCATTCAAACCTAACTGAACGCCTCGTCCATAATTCCAACGGACGAATGACGGTGTCACTAACCATCGGAATTTTCTATGCTTATTCTTTTCCAAGTATTTGAATAGCTTGGCGACCTAGAAGCATGAACTGATTCGAAAAGAAAAAAGAGAAGGATCGGCACATTTTCGGCCGTCATTGACCATCCGGCGGCGGAATTCATCCGTTTTGGATTCCAAGAAGTGTAGGCGTTTGCATTGTCTTGCGAGTAATAGGTGGCCTGAAAATAATTTGAATTTCACAAGGTTTGTGTTTCATGAAATTTAGAAAAAAAAACAAAATTTCAAATGGAATTCACTTGTCAACATTTGTCGATATAACAAATTTTCAAATGGAATTCTTTTGTCAATATTTGGCGCTCTAATGATAAGTTCTCTGATTCTTTCTTCCACAGAAGTTAAAAATGCAATGGTTTACCACTTAGGAACACAATTTTTTTTAATTTTACGCATAATTTCCATTAGAGTTCTTCAATTCAGTTGGAACAAAAAATTAATTTTTTAACCAGAAAGGTAGATTCAGTTGAAATTATTTGATTTTTTTCTGAAAGACCGGAAATTTCAAGGTTTTTCTTTGATTTTATAAGAGCGAATCGTTTATTCTCTTTTTTTCCATTCTGTGAAAATTTTCCAACTCCTGAACGTAAAAAAAAAGATTTCAAGCCTAATGAATGCGTACCTGCGTGATATATAGTACAAATTAAGATCTATTTTTGGTCGTCCTGGTCTAGGTTCGATTCCTGTGAAGAGTTTTGGATTTCATGTGGTTTTTATAATTTTTTGAAAGTTTTTGTTTTGTTGGAGATCTAGCTTTTCTTGTTTCAAGTTTTAAAATAACAAATAAACCTCAACACCCGAATCGCCGTCTTTTCCAATCGTCGCATTAATTCCTAGAGGCTGTAGGACGTTCTCATTGACGAACTCTTCATAGGTTTTATTGGATACCTTCAAATTTTTTGAGCATTTCCAATTTTTTGTAAGAAAAACCGTTTCAATAATCTTTCCCAATATGATATAGCCAATATTGGAGTAAAGATGTCGCGTTCCTGGTTGGAATTGTGGAAGTTCTTCTTGAACCGCTCGAGCTAGGAATTCGGTCTGGTTCAGCTCCATCCTGCAACTTTTTTGATTTTTCTCGGCTTCTATCTCAATTTATATGATGGCTGAAGTTTAGAATGTCTTGTGTTTGAAAAAAAAAATGCTTCTTTGGGAATTTCTAAGCGTGCGATTATTCAAATAATTTTAATAATTCGGAACCTGCTTTTCTCATGCAACTTTTTCTACCATTTTCATTTATTTTTATCTACAAAATGATACAAAAGACTATCATTTTTTTTTTTGAAGTAATATCACTCGTCTCGAGTCCGAAGCCCGCAGTGAATCAACTGCTCCTGCGAAAAAAAAAATCGCACCCCCATCAACGACGCGCAAACCGGCGCGAGTCGGAGACACGAGAAAGTGGAGTGACCACGCCGCGACGCCATCTCCGAGACCATACTATACAGAATCATTTCTGCAGTATGTATCTCGCAATCCCCATCAAAATGGCACACACGCCAACCGCGATGAACGGGAGACGGGCGGTCCGCGAGCGTGAAATACCGTAATCCTACGGTTGATGACCGCGGCGGGACCCAATTTTTGGAATCCGCCAGTGGACTGCTCTTCTGAGCGGTATTATAACGATGAATAAGAGTTGGGGTGAGGTTCATGCGCTTTTAAAGTTCCAGAACAAGGAGCCTGTGCCTTTAAAATGCCGTGTGGTTGCTAGATATTCTTATGCGGCTTGAAATTTGGTAGAAAACGCACTATGTGAATAGAACGATATGATTCCTGTGGCTTTGAAACAAACTTGGAGCAACTATGCCCTTTTAACTTCCAGAGAAAAGCTTATGATCCTTGAAACTTCATTCGAAATGTCCCTAGCCAAACCCACCTCTCAAACTCGAATTTCTTCGTGTGAGGCCAGGCGCCGCTTGAATGCTCCAGTAAATTGATTATCCGGATCATTTTCAAAAATGGATGACACGGCTGGCAGAATTCACTTAAAAGTCCTGAAAAGAAATGTTTCAAACATAAATTTTTTGAAATTCACACCATTTTCTGCGAAAATCTGCTGCATTAGATCGATTTTGTACTTCACGACGAGTTCTCCGATTCCAATCGCTGTGATTAATTTACTCACAGAGGCGATCCGGTAACGGTGGGATGGAGTGGCCTGAAATCGTGAACTTCCTTTTTAAGGAAACATAATGACGTCATTATGCTTAGTTCTCATTTAAAAAAATGACGTCACTGACCTCGACTCTCTTGATGACGTCGACATAGCCGTAGGCCGCAGAATATAATTCTTTGCCATCTTTCATCACGAAAATTGAAACCGAAGGAATGTCGTAGCTTCTCATCTGGATTCATCTTCATTTAAAATTAGTACTGTAACTTTTCTTACCCTGTGTTCGATCATATCGTCGAGAATAGTCCAAAAATTGTTGTGCGAATTTTTAGGGATTGAAGAATTTGCCCAGGAGAACTCGTCGCCGTGCCAGAGAAGCCATTGGTTCATCGACAGTTCTGTAGATGACCAATGCCGCCGACGAGCCTGTCTTAACTACAGTATGCCGTGAAACATGAGAATCCAACTTGTTGTATGGGTTTTGGAATGATTGACGAAAAAAAATGTGCTAATTGATCTTTTCACAGACGTTATTTTTTTTAGCGTTGGGGATTTTCTGAAAGTTGGTCAGAACATTTTTATGGGCTAGGTTTAAATCCTGTGAGTCTCAACTTACACAATCCCTACTTTTTGAGATATGGAGGGTCTCAAATTGAAAGCATTTTACCATTTTCGCTCAAATTTTCGAATCATTATCTTTCCTACGAACCTTGGCAGAGTTGCTAGTTGTACTGGGGTCAGATCTGTGTTATTCATGTGGGAAACCATCTCCTCCAGCTCAGTTCCGTACTGCAGCTTGTACCTGTCATTTATATATTTTTTGAAACAGACAAGGCCATTTCAAATGCGCTTCTTTTTTTTATCATTTTTTTAAAACTAACTTTTTAAAATTTTTTTTGGCAGTGAGGTCATGATTGTCCGAAAAATATGATTTGAAATAAATTTTTACACTGAAGCAGTAAACTCGACAATGAATTTCTAGGATTTACGAAAAAAAAACCCGGTTTTTTGTAGAGTCTTCTCTCCATTCTTTCTCTGTTTCGAACTACGCAAAACCTTTCAAAAATATAAATGAAGTCATATTTTGTTTTGATCCATCACACAAGGTATAGTGATGAAATAGCGCTAAAAAAACGGAAGATTTGAGCGACAAAAGCCATTCCAAATGCGGCTTAGAAAAAATTGAAGAAAATGTTGTAACTAACTAGATATTTATATATGGTTACTTTTCAAAAAACTTTTTGAGATATTTTGAGAAATCTGGATACGAAGAATGGAGTTTTTGGCTTTATTTTTTGTTTTTTTTTTTTTCATATTCCTTACCTTTTCCCAAATCCTTTTCTCCAAATGACGATCGCTCTACTTGAATTATCCTCCCGATAAACCTGTATACGAAAATTCACTTTTTTCTTCGTATAAGTAGTTCGAGACCTGAAAACAATCCGGATAATAGCCGCGACGCAACTGCAACGCGTCGCGGTCGATGATGTCGTTGACCGGGCCTGACTCGACGACATAGTGCCAGACGAACTCGTTGGAATGGTGCCAAACAGCACTGAAAGGCCAGAAATCATGGATTGACAAAATAACAGAATGATAGGTTTTGGTGGGACGATCAATCAAAGGGCGATGGAATTGTCACGGGTTCAATTTTTTTTTCCGTTTTTTTTTTGATTGAGAGATAGAGAGAAGGAATTGTTGTGAATAAGTTTCGAGGGGTCTTCCAATTATTCGTTACTGAAAATAAGCAATTTTGTAGTTTCAAAGGCCGAAAATTAAGTGAAAGTGCGCTCCACTGAATATATTTTTTGAAGAGACTCATTTTTCGATAAGCGCGTTGAACCAGTTAGAATAGATTTTCGAGTTCGCATATTTCGATTGGCTAATTTTTGGCTTCAAAATTGCTCTGTTGATAATTTTTATCTCAGAAAAGTTGTCCCTTGAAATTACGCAAAAAATTTTTTTCTCGAACTCAATCAATCAAAATGTTTTATTTCTCACACACAAGTACTAAATTTCACGAAATAGATGTAGGGAGAATTTTGGGATCATATATGTCGATTAAAATTCGGGTTTGGGCTACTTTCGACTGTACTTCCTGCATTCCAAATTAGAAGAAAGTCTACATTTGACTCAGTTCCTAAAGATTATCGATAGTTTTATCAGTTCTTACGATCCAGACAAGAAAGATCACAAATCCTGGTCTCACACTCTACTAGGAAATGCTGTGAGAACTCAAATTGAAGTTAGAATCAACTTGGGAACATAGTTGAATCGAGCTAACAAAAAAAGTGCGTATCAATATCACAATCTCGACTCCAACCTACATTCTCAATCTTGTTCTCACTTTTTTGCTGAAAAGTTTTCTAACCTGTAGGCGTCCTTCTGCGCTCCAACGCAAATAAAGTTGACTTTGACGCGTCGGGCGGTCATCTCGGCCATTTTCTCTTCGACCACGGACATATTGGCGTCGATAAGCACTTCAGACCAACCGGCGCCTCTGACCGTGTTGACAGCGAAGAACGTGACATTCAAATGGCGGTAGGAGCAGACCGAATGGACAAGGTATTCAGAAGCGGTCAGGTTCCGGACCAGATCTTCTACGGCGCCTCTGGAGAGGTGGACCCGACTGAAGCCTTCTGGAGCTGGTAGAGCGACGAAGGCCGGGTAGACGGCCGAGTTCTTGCTCGGAAAGAGGTGCCGCTCCGCCAGACCTCGCTCCTCCCAAAGGTCCGTCAAGGAGTAGACGACGACCTTTGGCGATGTCGCCGACGATATCGCTGCCCGCAGAAGCAGAAGCGTCGTCAAGCAGCCAAACATCGGCAGCGAGAATGGCGTCTTTTTGATGGAGATGCCTATCGGAGGCGGGTTTCACACCGTTTTTCGTCGACGCCGCCGCTTTTTGAGGGCCAAGATTATGACGATTTGGTTTGGCACTTGTGTCATAGAGAAGAGGGAATGAGATGTTCTTCGGAAGAAGATTATTCATCTTAATACAGAAAAAAAGGCTCAGTTACGAAAGTTTCTTGAAAATTTTATAGAAAGGTTGTGATGACAAGTTTTTCTTTTTTAAAAAGACGAGCCTTAAATTTTTTGGCTTTTAAAAGTCATAGGAAAGCTTCTAACTCTTATCCAAAAATAGGAAATTTTTTGGGTTTCGAAAAATGAATTTTTGAAATTTTTCTGATCTAGCAGTCCTAAAAGAGAGACATATTTTTCAGACGAGTGAATTTTTTTATAGAATTCGGAATTTTTTTCGTTCAAAGTCTGTTACTATCGGTTGAAGCTAAGACTTTTTAAAGTTTAAAAAGTTTATTTAAAAAAATAATAAAACTCAATTTTTTTCAACCAGTAGAAGTTGATATCATTAGAATCAGTGTTATCCATTGGAAGTATTTTTTTTATCTCTGAAGGAGGAAAATTTCAAGGCCAAGCAGAATCCGAACCGTTTTGACTTTTTCTTTTATTTTTCCTTAGACGTCCAGAAACTGGCTCTATAAGAGTTTTTTCTTCCGTTCCATTGCCCTATCGAAAAAAGCCAACGCCCACACGGAACCTATCGCCCTCTGCTTTTCCCAAATCCAGTTGATAACGACTGGCGGCCGATTCGCTTTTCAGCCGACTGACCTTCTCCGAACGAAAAAAAAAATGGATGAAAAGCCGAGGAAAGCTAGTGATGACGCGTTACGCAAGTGAAATGAGGAATTGTGATAATATTTTCTTCAAGAATAAATTGAAGATGGTCGGGCTTTTGCGAAAAAAGAGAAACAGTCGAAAAAGGTTTTGAAAATTTGAGACAGGAAAACAATAAGTTTTTAAGAAGTTTCAAAAAAAAAAATATAGAGTGAAGCTTGCAGAATTATTTTGAGTGGACGAAGGAAAAATAAGTATGCTGGAAAATTTCTAGTGGCCACTATAGAGGCTCGCCAAGGACTTCTTGGAAAGAACACTGAAGTGGCCACTATTTTCCGTTTTAATGGCCACTTCAGTAGTTTTTCATCCAGTATTCCTCCCAGTAACTCTGATAATTTTAAAACAAAAAATTTGGACCAGTTATGTTGATCCATTGACCCCTAAAGTGGCCACTTAGTTGTCTAGTAGTAGCACTTAGACCTCCATAGTGGCCACTGATTTTTAACCCCTCGAGTGGCCACTAATTTGACTACTATAGTGGCCACTAAAACGTCAAACCCCTATAGAGGCCACTTAAAATTTTCACAGTGAGTCGGGAAAAACATTGCCTTTTGAAATTTGGGAAAAATCACTTTAAACAAAGGATAATGAAGAAGAGCTGAATAAATAAAGAATGAAAAAAAGATACGTCTAAGTAATTTTTAATAACAGCGAGTTTTTGGTGGGAGCTTTTAAGGTGGTATGAAAAAACCACCAACGAAAATTCAAACGGCGACTTTTCCGATTTTTTCATATCGCTAGGGAACTTTCCGACGGCCACCTTTCCGACGAATCTTTTTTTCCGACTTTTTTTCCCTTAAGTTTTTTTCGGTTTATAAAACATCTATAAACATTGTTTTTTTCTATTTCTTTGTGTTTTAATCATTAACCAACTACCTACTTTATATAGGGAGATTCAAAACGAAGATTTATCGAGAAAAAAAAGTCGGAAAAAGATTCGTCGGAAAGGTGGCCGTCGGAAAGTTACCTAGCGATATGAAAAAATCGGAAAAGTCGCCGTTTGGATTTTCGTTGGTGTTTTTTTCATACCACCGCTTTTAAGATAAGATTTGAAGTTGTATAACAGAATTGAGCAAAAAACCTCGAAATGTTTAATTTTATAAACAAAAATTTCAGATATCTACATCCTGCCTGGCCTCATTGTTACAGCAATGGAGAACTGGGGTGATATTCATCACTGATTTAAGAAACTATAACATTTTTCAGGTCTGATAACAGCCCGACAAGCTGAATCTCTATACAATCCACTGTTGTTTCCACTGACCCACAAAAATCACGTCCAAGAAGTTATTGCCCATGAAGTTGCTCATCAGGTTGGACGAGAAAAAAAAAAACGGATAAAGTCGGTTTCTTCCAAGACCTTTTTTGTGAATTTCTGTTTAAAAAAAAAGGTCAAAAAAATTGCAGAACAAACTGACTTAAAAATGGAATGAAGTTCATCTTTCTTGGAGCGGGGGAGGGGGTAAGGGAAGGTTGTTCTGAAAAAAAAGGAAAAAAACAATTTTTTTCGATTTTTTTAGTTTTTATTTTTACTGCTAAAGGTCTTCAAAAAGCCCCTCAGATTCTGCTTGTTCTTTGAAAAAAATCGAATTTTAGTGGTTCGGCAACCTTGTGACGATGAAATGGTGGAATAACTTGTGGCTGAATGAGGGTTTCGCGACGATGATCAGCTTGAGGGCCGTGGATTTCCTGGAGAATACTACTTTGAGATATGTGAGTTCTCTCAAAAAAGGTAGAAGTTAGATCTTAAAAATTCCAACTATCTAGAGACCTGAAGGTTTTAATCAATTTTTTCCTTGCCATATTTGTACTGAGATTGCGGTCATTTTCAAAGATTTATAATAAATTTCAAAATGAGTTCTTTCTTTTCATAAGCTTTTCTCGACTCTTGAAACTTTTTTGTTCCAAAAAGTTGAGGTCTCGGTTTTGTTCTGTTGTTTTAACCAAGGAAAAAAGCAAATTTTCATTGGTGATGCGTATTTGAAAAAAGGGTAAAAAATAAAGTTACTTGTAGTCTGTGCGCCACGACTTGAAATTTGACGGAACAACATTCCGCTGTTCCGCTCCGGTGGGTTCGCGAAGCGTCTTTCGAATCTAAGTCACGCTTTGAATTGATTGTTATTGCTGTGGGAGCACATGAAAGTAGAAAACCTTAATAAAAGAAACAAAAATTAGAAGCGCGATCAAGGTTCGCAAAGGCGCGCAGCGGCACAGCGGAATGTCGTTCTGTGAAATTCCAAGTCGTGGTACACCCATCATTTAATATTTTTTCTTTTGAAAAAGGGAAAACTACCACTTCATTATCGTTGGCTTCAAAATAAAATATCTTTGATGACGTCTTCTTGTGATTTCCATCAGTTAATTTCATCAACTGTTGTGAGTGTTGATTTAATTTTCCTCAGCCCGAAATGACGGCTGAGTACATGTGTATCGTGCTGCGGACGGACCAAACCGACAGCCAGACTTTCCCGGTCAGCAGCAAGGGCGACGAGGAAGTCTTCTCGAGCAACCAGAGACCCAGATTGATCACTTATAGGAAGGTATACCATTTTTCATTTTTTCTTCAAATTTATTTGATAGTAGGTTTAAAAAAATCCACAGGATTCCGCTTTCTTTCTTAATGAACCTTGCTTACTGAAATTCCTATATAAAGGTGAAAATTAAGAATTTTCTGCTATTCGTTTCTTTGGTAGATGTTTGGAAGCTTTCCAGCAAGTTGCGAAGTGCTTTCCACATAGCTTCCCAAAACCTTTTTTTGAAAAAAAAAGCCTTCCGGAAGCCTTCTAGAAACATTACAGCAGGCTTATGGAAGGCTTCTGGCAGACATATTCCATTTTTACCTTCCGAAGGCCATCTAGCTTCCATTCACATACAATATCCTATAGATTACCTTTCTAACTTCCAAACCTGAGTTTTTATAAAAAAAACTGTTTATTGCATCTTCAATGTAAGAATGCATGTGCAATCGATTTTCATTGATTTTAACTGTGTTTAAACGGCGGCAGGAGCTGTGGCTTAGGCAGAGAAGTTGAGAATTTCGCTAGTAGAACATCAGGTGCAAGAGAGGTCGTAGGAAGAGTTACGGTGCCGGCTTTCTAAAGGCCGATGGCAGAGATTGAGCTTTTGCGCTGCATGCAGCTCCCATTTTATCTACCACAGAGGGATGAAAGGCTTGGTCGACCTTGGGGTGACTCGAACCTACGACCTTGCGGACGTTAGAAATGAGTTATGCCAGCTGAGCTATGCCGAACTTGAGTAGCAATCCTATTTTAGATCAGAAGTTGTTCTGTTCAACGTTCAAAACCAAACTTAAATTAGATTATATTTTTCTTCTTGATGATGCCAAAGCTGGTTTTTACATCTATTTTGTCAAAAAAAAATCTCAAAAACAAAAAATCTCAAAAATTGAAGGCAGCCATCGTGATCCGAATGGTGGAGAGACTAGTCGAAGAGGACATTTTCCGAAAAGGACTCCATCATTTTCTCAACAAATTCATGTACAAAAACGCCGACCAGGACGACCTCTACTCGATTTTGACCTAGTCAGTTGGTTAATATTCGAGAAAATGAAGGAATTCTGAGATTTCCGGAGTTTTAGTGTGCATGACTCGTCTTCTGGCGGACATTTGACGGGCCAGAACTTCTCGTTGGCCGACGTGATGGACACCTGGCTGGGACAGGAATCTGTCCCGGTGGTTCACGTCTCCCGGAAGGAAGGAAGTATCGTCACGTTGAGGCAGCAGAGATACAAGGTAAGAAAATTGAGAACGAAGAGAGTAGCGCAGTGGGTTGGGGTCGGAAATGTACTGCGAAGGGTTGAGGGTTCGGTTCCGGCTGAAGTTTCAAAAAGAAATCAGAAAAAAAAGAATGGCGCAGTGCCTTGTAGCCTCGTTGTCATCTGAAGGGTTGAGAGTTCGATCCCTGCTGCCATAAAAAAAAAATAGATGTCTCCTTACCGTCTACAGTAAGAATTTCCGGTACAATGGGTCAAGTTATTCAATTGTTGGTTTGAAAAAATGGTCTGAAAAGAAAACCTTCAGCACATTCCATCAACTCCGCCATCGAAACGAGACAATTACATCTGGAAGATTCCAATATTCTACGACGATCCTGTTTCTGGAAAACACAGGGTTTTCTGGCTGACCGACCATAAACCTGGTAATTCAATTCAATTCAATTTATTCAGTCTTCAGAGTATGATGTAGAAAATCTCTGCTTAATCATGATATAATCGAAGAGTTAGTCTTCGGCCTGCTAACTTTCTTTCAATGTTAGAGTTCAAAAATCAAATTTTTAGTGTCAAAATCAATATTTTCAAGTTTATTTATGAATTTCGAATTGAAATTTAACTATTTTTAGCCGTCTTCGACATGGGACTCCAAGTTGTGGTGGACCCATATCAACTCACTTATATGAGGATTCGCTACGACGACGGAATGTACTACGATATCACGAAAAGACTCATCGAAGACCACAATTCGATACCGGCCAACTCGAGGTTTTAGATTATCCATAGGCGAATTGAGAAAGGGTATCGCGAGACCCTCTGAGGTATATCGCTGGCTCTGAAGTCTCACGATGGTACCTCGAGTATACCTCTGAGGACTGGGATTAACCTAAAAAAATTGTATACGGAGTAAAAGAAGTAGTAATTTTTATTTTCATTGAATGTTCTGATTCTGTAATTCTTCGAAATTTTTTTTTTTTTTTCGCTCAAAAATTCGCGATCGGTGTATGCACAATTTGAACCTACAGTGTGCCAAACCGGATGGGCTGAACAAATGTGTTTAGGATCTTTTTTTTTTTGAGAGCTAATTTTGGTCTGCTTCAAAGCTCTTGGCCATAGATCTGTCTGTGAGCGGAATAAACATTTCTCAAAATATTATTTCAGAGGAAGATTGATCGATGACACGTTGGCGATGGCCGAACATGGACAAGTCAGCTACGAAGTTCCATTCAATGTCACTATGTACCTTCCTTATGAGGTGAAGCTTCTTTTTTCAAATTTATCCTTTTTAAACTGAAAAAGATGTCGTTTTCGAATTTACAAGCCTTTTAAAAAAATTTTTTTTTGATAAATAAGAGTTTTTTTAAAGAGTCGCAAGGTATTTTTTTCCAATTTAATTCTCAAATTATTTTTTCTTTCAAAGTCATCTATTTTTTCATCTTTCAGACATCCTTTCGCCCTTTCCATGTCTTCAGCGCCTATCTGGACTTTTTCCTCCCACGTTTATATTTGGAGCCAGATTACGAGAAATATCGGGTTTCATATAAAGATGAAGTCAAATAATTGAAGGAATTTTTTTCAGGAATGGCTTTTGATGATTTTGGCGACGCAATTTGATCGAATGTATGCAGAGGGCTTCGAAAGTTATGCTCAACTTGGCAGCAACGAGAAGTTTGTCTTTTTCTTTCATTGAAAAAAAAGATTGGGTTGGAAAGAAGTGTCAAAAGCCTAATTAAAGTTGCTTAGAATTTCTTGAAAATGGAATATACATATACTGGCAAAATTTTTAGTGGTCCCTATAGGATTTTGACGTTTTAGTGGCCACTATAGTAGTCAAATTAGTAGCCACTTAAGGGGTTGAAAATTAGTGGCCACTATAGAGGTCTAATTGCTACTACTAAACCACTTAAAACTTTAGTGGCCACTTCAGGGGTCAATGGATCAACATGACTGGTCCAATCTGTTTGTTTTTAAATTATCAGGGTTATTGGAAGGAATACTGGATGAAAAACTATTGAAGTGGCCACTAAATAGAAAACCTCTATAGTGGCCACTAAAACGGATAATAGTGGCCACTATAGAGGTGAGTTTAGTGGCCACTTTAGTGTCCTTTCCAAGTAGTCCTTTTTGGCGAGCCTCTATAGTGGCCACTAAACATTTTCCTAGTATAGCTTCAAAAATTCCAAGCTTGCATTCACGTTTTCATTAGAAAATTTTGATCACGTGATAGTTCTGTTCATATTTCTTTGAATAGTCCGGAAACCTGCGAAATTTTCATGCAGACCGTGAAAAGCGCAAAAAAAGGAAAATTTAAAAATTGGAAGTCCACCTTGAACTTCTTTTTGAAGAGCTGAAATCCAAAGAAATTGAAGAAAATAAGTGTTTGATCAAACAAGTAAATCTTCAATATTGTGTTATTTTAGCCGCCTCCGAGAGTTGATCGTCTTCCGCGCCTGTGGAATCGACTACAAGCCTTGCGTCGAGTTCGCGAAAAAGTCTTTTGCCGAACTTCGCCAGAATTGCTCGAAAACCTTCTTGTCCAGTGTGGAGTGCAACAGGTAATCAGAAATTGGAAACTTGAAAATGTCTAGAAAAATTTCCGGTACATTCCAGATACGAGAAATCAGTGATAAGAAGGCAATTTTCGGCGAATAACTGATAAGAAAATTTATAAAATTGATGAAATATTCTCTCCTTTTCTTTCATTTAGGTCCAATCCTTCTATCAAATTGCTTTTTTTAATAAATAAGTGAGATTCTAAAAGCTATAAAAAGCTATAGTCTGTGTACCACGACTTGGAATTTCACCAAACGACATTCCGCTGTTCCGCCGGGCGCCTTTGCGAATCTCGGTCGCGGTTTCAATTTTTTTTTTCATTCAAATTCTCTCAGTGGAACAATCCATCTATCAGCAAAAAAACTAGTCTGGAAGGGTGACCTAGATCCGCAAAGGCAAAGACGCTTCGCGACCGTACGCAGCGGAACGTCGTTCGGGGAAATTTCAAGTCCTGGCACACAGACTATATAACTCATGCCATATTCAACTTATTCATGTCCAGAATTCCCTTCTACATCCGCTCGCAAGTGTACTCCACGGCGATCCAACATGGAACCCAGGAAGATTTCGATTTTCTGCACCAAAAATGGCTCGACGAACATTATATGATGGAAAGAGACCGTATTTGGTCCGGCTTGTCCGCTTCCAAACGCAAAAATGACGTTTATAGGTGAGGAAAATCTGATTTCGAGACATTTTCCAGCCTTTTTTGTAGAATATGGACGGATTTGCTGCAGAACAAGGCCAGGGACAGCATCAAAGAACGGGCGGTCGCCTTCTCGAAGTTAAATATTTTTGTAATCAAGTGAAAATATTCAAATTTTAGACATTTACGACATGAGAACCATCTGTTGACCTTTATGAACGACCGGTATAAATATGTCGCAAATCAGTTAGTTTTTTTCAAAAAAATTATTTAATAAAAAAATTAATTTTAGGCTTCGATACTCGGCTGATAGTTTTCAAACCATGTTTGCGGCGGCTTTGCGAGGAATTCATCACGTCTCTCAGGCTGATTTGGTTGGTTTTAAAGTGTTTTGACGTTTTGATGGCCACAAGAGGTTAAAAGTTAGTGGCCACTATAGAGGTCTAAGTGATACTACTAGAGTACTAAAAATTTTAGTGGCCACTTTAGGGGTCAATGGATCAACAGAACTGGTGCAATCTGTTTGTTTTGAAATTATAAGAGTTACTGGAGGGAATACGGAATGAAAGGGATACTGGATGGAAAACTACTGAAGTGGCCCCTAAAACGGATAATAGTTGCCACTATATAGGTGGGTTTAGTGACCATTTTAGTGTCCTCTTCAAGTAGTCTTTGGCGAGCCTCTATAATGATCACTAAAAATTTTCCCAGTTTGGAAAAAAAAACCGGCTTTTTACTTGGACGTTCTTATGAGTGCTGCTGCCACTAAAGTGGTCACTGGAACTGCCCAGAAAAATCCGGAGCACGTCCGCTTCGCGTTACCAATGTCCGAATACGAATATTGAGTGCAAAAAAGTTCAGAACGGCAAAAAAATTTAGACACGGAGAGGATTTGAACCTGTGACCTTTTGCTTAGATGCCAGACGTCTTATCCATTTGGTTTTAGTCAAGTTGTTCATCAGGAGTCTCTGAAGTAGCGTATGCTTTGAAATTACGCCTTTTCATTGAATTTTCCGCGAAATCTTCGGCAAAGTTGATAACAAAATACAGTTTCTTCAGAAAATATGTCAAAAAATGCGTTTCGGAGCAAATCTTTCAGAACTCAATCTTTATAAAATTCCTGGAGTTGTGATGACTGAACTTTGATAAAAATTTGAGCTCTTAAAAAAAAAAAAGGAAGTTGAGGACAAAAGTCTTTAACTGTCTAGCCAAGCTCCAACTTTGCAGGCTCGGACCGTGATGGAGAAGTACGCGGAAACGTTCAAAATCCACTCGGGTGTTCTCGGCAGCATAATGGGCCGATTCGCATGGCGACGTGACATGGGCCCCCACGTCATCGGCAACGCGACGAAAGCTCTGAAGCAGATGCGGAAAATACACGCCGGCCGCCCTTTTCTCTGATCCCTTTCTGAACTATTCGTAAAAACCTTGGTCATTTTTCATTCCTTTTCCTAGATCATCAACTTGACAGAATGTGGTTTGAAAAAAGTGACCCGCGTTTGGAATGGCTCAAATTGTGACAGCTGCCTTTCATCCGCAGCTTTTCGAGCCATTCCTCCTGATTTTCTGAATTTTTTTAAAGCTGGTTTGAGCTATGAAAAACAGTGTTTTTTTTCTTCCAGAGCAATTTTCCGGTCTTCTCAAGTTCATCATTTTGGAAGTTATATCCCATTTAGGCTCAAAAATCGGCGGTGTTTTTTTCACCTTCCTTTTTTCAAACTCTTTCTTTTCTTTAGCTCTTCTTACTGCTTTTGAGTTTAGTATAATCTGTTCAAAAACCTTTGCTTGATTTTCAAAGGCGCAGAAGCTTAGTTTCATTGAAAACATCACTGAAAATTGTTTTTACACCTCGAGAAAAGTTTACTATGCTAGCTGGTTCACGGCTGGCTTGAGCCATCCGAAAAAGGGTCCTGGCACGATGAGAAAAGAGACAGTGTCTGGTTGGTGGAGAGCGCCGACAGGCCACGCCTTTTTGCATCTCAAACTAGACGTGAATTCGACAAGAATTTTTGAACAGATTACAATTCTATGCACATTTATTGTTGTCTGTTGATCAACTCTGACTTTCCTTATATGTCCGATTCAAATCTTTTGATCTTTTGATCTTTCCGACCTACTTCGCGCTCATTCCCACAAAAAGATTGATCTCCATTGCTGTTGTGAAACTTGAAGGCTTTAACTTATTTTTCCTTTCTTTTGTGATATCCAGAGTATATTTATTGTATCTTCTCGCTTTTTCTCGCTTTACATGAACCGAGCTTTATATTTCTTATCCGAATGTACAAAGTCCACGGAGTTTTTCTTTTGCTGATGATAAATGATTCGAGTATTTTGTTTATTGAAAGAGAGGATTTTCATGAGGTGTGAGGCCCATTTTTGCTTTTTGGAGTGATGCTGATTCGAGACGAAATTAGTTCGAAAAAGATCAAAAAAATTCCAGAAAAAAAGACACGCATTTTTTTCTAAATGTTTTTCCAAAAATTTTATATTTTGATGTATGTTTGAAAATTTTGAGGAAAAAATTATTTTTTTTTAGGATATGCATAGCTGGTATCATGAAAATGTTGCGAATTAGTCAAAATCTAAAAATTTCTTCGGAAATTAAAAGAAAAATTCATCCATATTGGCTTCCGTCATTTAATTCAAGCTTAAAAGTTGAAATTGAGCTTGCAAAAGAATAAATTTTCATTTAATTTTAAATTTGGTTACTTTTTCAGCCTGAATTCATACTTTCAAAATGATTTTTCTTTTTCAGAAAAGAAGCTTTATGAGCGATTCGAAGTTGATGGGTTTCAGGGAGAATGGCTGTATTTTTTTATATAAGGTTCGATTTTTTTCATTTTTATTTTTATGTCTTGTAAAAAAAGAGATTAAAGTTGAAAAAAAACGGGGCTTCAAGTTTTTTTGTTCGTTTTGCTAATCAAAAAGTTTTTTTAAGAAACTTTGTTATCGAGGAGATTTTTTTATTCAAGCTAATCCGGAATGATTGAGTTTTTAAATAAGTTGATAAACAAGATCATAGATTTATTGATTAGAAGCATTTTGGCGATAGAAAATACATAGTTTTAAACTTTAAAGAAAGGAAAAACCAGATTAGAGATAATCGTCAAGCCATTTGACATGCGGCTGACTACAATCGGAGGTTGAATTATCTGGATAAAACGAGTATTTATATGTATTATCATCAAACGGAATTTCTCTTGATTGATTGTTCAGTAAGGTCCATTGCCGGTCGATGAGTGCGCAGAATGTCTGAATAATTCTTCTTTTCTTTAACCTGGTTATGCTTTATTTGATTCCAGAAAAGTCAGGGTATATAAAAGAATACTTAGAATGATGATGAATATCGGGAAAAATATCGTTTTGAAGATTATAGTCCGTTCGCCGCGACCTGAAAGATTTCGGGTGTCTGCGTCTCTCTGTTCCCTCACCGGCGGGAACAGAGAAAATAGCGCGTCAATATGAGAGGGTTGCCAAGAGAAAAGGAGGGCGCAGAGAAGTTCCTTTCAAGTCGCGAAAAACGGACTATTCCAGTGACCTTTTCAAACCTTTTTTGCCATAAATCTGAACACAACGGCCTTTTTGTGTATGAGAATATATAACTGTTAAAAAATGGAAAAAAATTTGACCCTTACATTAGTTCCATTACAATAAACTGTAACCAGAGAACAATTCACTCGAATACATCGATTGAAACAGTTATCCAGGCTTCTATCCGTGAAAGATGGAGTGATTGGGATCCACTGCAAAAATATTCATTTTTCATGAAATCGATAAAAAAGCGAGAGATTAAGTGAAGAGACGCCAGAGAAATGGAAAATGCTCCGCCGTCTGACGTCTCTTCAGACCTCCCGATCTCTCGACTTTTGTAGATTGGAAACAAAAGCTCTAACCGCTTCGATGACATGCCTTGAAGCTATGTCGTCTGGCTTTTTGATGCGGAAGAACCGATATTCTGTGATCAGCGCGGAGTAGAACTAAAGAAAAAGTTCCAATGATTAGGGCTGATTCAAAATACAACCTGGAAACTAGAAATCAGAAAGAATAAGTAGACGCCGCCAGACATATCCTCTCAGACAATAATATCAAAAATAAATATCCTTCTTTTATGTTGCCTAGTGAATAAGTCTGTCTTTAGAAAATTTTATTTTCATATTGAAAGTCTGCGCATTTAACGCAACAGTTGCTACAGAAACTGAGACCTTTCGATGCAGTTGATTGGTTAAATGAGGGAATAAATGGAGCATCCTGAAATTATGGGAATCTTTGGACGATACTGCAAAGATGGAAAGCTAATGGAGTTCAGGAAAAGTCGCAATCGAAAGATTGTCAAGATTCCAAGACTCCTAGGGAAAATATGATTTGTAACTGGGAAACTTTTTAGTGGACACTATAGTCTATAGAGGATCGCCAAGGAATACTTGGAGAGGACACTAAAGTCGCCACTAAACTCACCTCGATAGTGGTCACTATTTCCCGTTTTAGTGGCCACTATAGAAGTTCTCTATTTAGTGGCCACTTCAGTAGTTTTCATCCAGTATTCTTTCCAGTCTCTGATAATTTGAAACAAAAAGATTGGACCCATACGTGGGCGCCGACCACTTTTTTCACTTTCGCACGGTCCCACGCGTGACGTCACATGACGTCATAGCGGCCAAAACTGTAAACAACCCAGCGCGCGCTCACAACGCTCACAGATATTCAATTTTTTTATTCAATTTTTTTCGATTTTTTTGAATATTTTCTTCAGATTTGGAACCATTTTTTAATCTAGTTTTTTTCTTAATCTGCAATTAATAAATATAATACCAACTACACAATAAGAAAAGCAGCAAATTCTAATTGCGAAATGCGATTTTATTTTCCAACTTATTGGTTTTGATTTATTGTTTCTGATTTTTTCAAATAAAAGCTTTTATTCGTACATTAATTTTTGAAAAAGACATACTTTTTTTCTTTTCGTTAAATTTCTGAAAACTATATATATTTATATATTTTTCATTTCGTTGAAAAACAGTTTACTTTTTTCTCTTCATTCATAATAACTGTTGAGTCACATGAAAAAGTTTGTCAAAAGGAATCGAAGTTTTTTTATTTACTTTTTCGCATAATTTTTTTATTCATCTCGTGGTGTGCTGAACAACGGCTACCGATTTTTTTAACTATCGAAAATGTATTCGCCAATTTTTCAACGTTTTGTCTTGAGAAATGTATCGATTCATCCCGTGTTATATTATATTTGCCTCCATTCCGATAAAGTTTTACTTTAGATCAAGAATATTTTAGGTCGAATCGGAGAAAGTTTGAGAAAAAAAAAGCAATCTATAAACTAGTTTAATAACTATGTGATAATTGTGTATAAAAAACCAATTTTTCAAATGACTCGTAAATCTTTTTCGGTCTTTTTCAAAACCATAACTCTGTTTATATTTTTTATAGGCGCGTTATGTATCTGCAGGAGCGACGTCAAGACTCAATGGAAAGGATTGCGCAAACTTGTAAATTTTTCCTTTTTTTCATTCCTTGTTCCAACTAGGGAACGTTTTTTTTTATATATATCTTGTTTTTGAATTAGGACGCTTCAAAAGCTTGAAATAGCGTTTTTTTTTTTGTCAACATTTTTCGTATTTTGCGGACTTTGAAGCTCCATAGAAATTTTTTTTTTGTTCTCCAATATTTTTTCAACTCTGAAGTACGAAGTCGATGAAATCTATTAGTGAAAACCATATATTACACAACTAAGTTCTTTTTTGGCCTTTTTTTTCTGAATATCATTGATGAGTTCGCTCTCAAACTGCATTAAATTTCTAATTTTTTTCATTTTTCAGAAAATGGAAAGTTTTTAAAAATATTAGCTTAAGACGTTTGGAAATAGAATTGAAAAAAAGTGAATTTTGAAAACCCAAAGATAAATTTTCCTTTTAGTCGAGAACGTCTTTTTCATTTTTCGTTTGCGCTTTGATGTGGACGATTCTTGCAACCATTCTAAGATGCCTTTTTTGTAAGTTTTTTTTTGTGAGATTTTTTCAACTTTCTCAACAACATTCAGTATCCACTCCATACGTGGGCGCCGACCACTTTTTTCACTTTCGCACGGTCCCACGCGTGACGTCACATGACGTCATAGCGGCCAAAACTGTAAACAACCCAGCGCGCGCTCACAACGCTCACAGCGCGCGCTCACAACGCTCACAGATATTCAATTTTTTATTCAATTTTTTCGATTTTTGAATATTTTCTTCAGATTTGGAACCATTTTTTTTTATCTAGTTTTTTCTTAATCTGCAATTAATAAATATAATACCAACTACACAAAGGTAAAAAAAGGAAACTTCGAGAAACTTTTGACGCCTTTTTAGAAACTCAAAAAGGAGCTTTAGATTCTTTTCGAGATCGTTTGG